TAAATATAAATGTGTCGTTAAACCCGCCGCCACCCGACACAGCCACTTCGTAAGATTTGCCACGTGAATAAAATATGCCAATTCGTTACGAGTACAGCACACCGGTGTGTTGGAGAAGAAACCCACAACATTGACAATTCGAGTGCGACGTTTCGCCAGTAATTACAACTAGTATCATTAGGCGACAGACATTTGTGGATGAATCCTCTTGTTTCGGTCTTAAATAGAGGAGGGGTTAAAAAAACCCCTCCTCTATTATGTATAATATTGGTCGCGAAAGCCTACGTGTTAAAAATATTTTAAGGTACAATAATCACAATGAAGTTTTCACGCGTCTTGCTTTCATGCCGGCTCATCGGTCTCTGATTCCCTCTAAGGGGGCAACTCTCCGCTGCTCTACTGATACGATGGCCAGATGCGTTGATCGGGCGTGGTCCATGGTGGACCGCAGGTGATTTTGAATGAATAACAACAATTATTTTTCTTAAACATTTGTTGTTGTTGTTTATCTGTTGATTCGGGGCCTGTTTGATGCCGACTTGGCACAACCCTATAGTGTCGCCCCTGGCTGGAGGGGGAGGGGTGCTCCACCTCCTCCATCCAGCGGGCTTGGCGTGGAGCTTCGGAATATTTACACTGGAGGAATCCGATGAGCTATAAAGCTCTTTTTTTCTTTTTTTTACAGATGTCTAGATGTTCGCTCGGCTTGAAACGTATTCATTGCATCTTCAATGCGCATGTATTCAACAACATGATGGACATGTATTTGTATCCTGTTCATGAGCAGGGTAAGGGTATATAATTTTGTGGAAGCATATGAAAAAAATCTGTCTTGTCCATTTTGCAAACAATTCTCTTGTGAATAAATGGTGCTTATTGGGAAGAAAATAGACTGTGAATTGGACACCAGGTCATTGTTCGGTACGGAGACAGAATGTCAGTGGGCATGCGGTGCGAGCCACTGTAAATTAACAACACCCTAATGAGATAACAGCAGAGATGCAGACAAGAGATGTAGTGAGATTAGATAAATTTTTTACAAAAATAAGAGATTTATTGAGATGAAAAAAAAAACAAAGCCAAAATTGAGATGCTGGATGACATTTTCATGTGAAGTCGCTTGCTCATAATCAACGTTTTTGGGTTTAGATCGCGAATTGCTCGATGATGCTGGATGCAATAACCAGCGAAACGTCGTACTCAAATTGTAAATGTTGTGGTTTCACGCTTCAACACACCGGTGGGCTAAAGCAGTGAACTAATTGTCTTTTTTCAACGTGACACTTTTTTACTGATTGTCCGTGTCGGGTGGTGGAGGGTTACGACACATTTATAAATAAACCCAAAAACGTTGATTATGAATAATATTGGTCGCGAAAGCCTACGTGTTAAATTAAGTCGCTTGCTATGCTTCTTAAGATGTTACCTTCATAGCTGATGTTTCATACACCCAAATGTTTGTGCATGAATCCTGGCACTGCTCGATCGAGCTAACGGCTCGGGGCGTCCGTGAGCTCCTTCTCGCTTCCCTTCAGCCTTTGCGTCGCCACCGGCACCTCATCCTTGAAACCCGACCAAATCCGCTTCGATATCCTCCTGCACAACACACAACCGTTCCCGTGGTCTCACACGCTTTGCCATATTTGTGCAACGTCCACTCACCGCGTATAGAACACCCCAGCGGGTGGTCATCTGCTGGTGAGCAACGTGTGCTCCTCTCGTTATTCCTTCCACCCCCCCCGCCGCCGCCTCCCCACCTCTGCACGCAGCGTTGAGGGGCAGCGTTTGGCTCGATGAATGGGCAGGGTCCGCCGGAGCCGATGCTCTGTGTCGGATCGGATGAGGCGGAGGTGGGGGGTGTGGGGGCCGATGAAAAGCTGAGAGGGCTCCGTCAAAATCGCTCATTCAGAGCGACCCTGGTGGGGAATTGATCAGCGGGTGATGTCATCGGCACCCAATCAAAAGCCAGCCGCACGACAGCGCGGCGTGGAGAGGGCTTCGTTTCAGCAGCGGATGGGCAGCACGAAACCTTCGTTTGAATGTCAGAATGCGAACTCGTTATTTGTAAGCTTAAAAAAAATGAAATTGCCTCTTGAAAATTAATTGGGTGGAGCGGTGGTGCAGCGGTTAGCTAAGGCGCGATGCAATAAGGTTCGATTCCCGACTAAATCTGACGTCAGTGGTGTTTCGGACTGTGTCTGAAATGTTCCTGAGTAAGTACCCTCCCACCGCCCATTCAGAAACACGTACCGACCAGTGTAGACAAGTGTGGTCATCTGTGAAAAGAGCCTCAGAGCTCATCGAATTTCTCCGGGATAAATTAAGATTCTGATTCATGCCGTAGCCGGCACGGCGTGGGAAGGAGGAGGGCTTCGTCAGCCAGCAGTGGATTGACAAAGGACCGTCAGGTCTCCATTATACATTGTAAGGCAATGATTGGGAACATCATGCATCTCCCGCACGTCAATTGATTACTCAATCTGATAATAATGGATGTGCTCCCTGCGTTTGTTGCGTGTGTTTGGTAATGGTGAGTGCTGAGTGGGTGGAGCAGACGTGGAGGGGTTGATGATGTTGGGGACGGTGGTGGGGAGGGGAGGATGGAGGGGGGGTGAGCGCCTGAACTCCTTGAACCCCTGAGTGCATTTTTTTGGTTCATCCAAACATCGTGGTATTTTTCTATTTCCAATCTGCAGCCAGTGTTTACGGAGGGTGTGGGGAGTCATAGGTCAGGAGCTTGATCTGATGCGGCAGGGATGTTGCTCAGAACGATACTTTGACAAAAGGGCAAAAACAAAACTCGTGGTGGGGCAGTGTACATTTTCATCCTCATGGTGGACACGTATCAACACAAAATAAATGATGCACCCAATTACCCCCCTCCTTCCCATATCTGTCCTTCCACGTGAGAAAAATGCAAAAGCGTGTGTATATTTTTTACACATTCCATCAACCACACGGCCTTCTGGGAGTGTGTCACTCCTACAGTGTTGTGTGCACTGTTGCAACAAAAAAATGTGGCTCACCATTCCACTCTGCTATGTGCCCCCTTTTCCATTTATCCTCACTTGCTGCATCAGAACTGCACGCGGGGATGTGCGGCTACCTCCTCCGTGTACGCGGAATTAATCCATCGCTCGCATCGCCAATCATTGCCCAACACCCTATCATCGCAAATGGAATCCATCTGGCGGTCCCAGCCGCCATCTGAATGGCTTTCCAAACTCGGCGACGGTTATAGGACTCGTCCGCTCCTCTGCAAATGCCTCCAAATAGATTGCCTTCGCGAGCTCTGCAACACCCCGACACCCTGACTCCCAATGTGTGCCAGTATGCCGCGACGTAGTGTTGGGGAAGCCAACGAAAACCCTTGTGACCTCGGCAGAAAAACGACATCGCAGCCAATAAATATGCCAACATGGACATAGCTGCTGATGCCACCACTTGCTCGCCAACGGTTTATACCGTCCGCCAAATCCTGCAGATGCTGAGCAGCAGACGCACGACCTCCAAGGTTTGCCCTGATAGCATCACAACATCTGCTCTATACTCAGAGGCCCACAGACTGGGACAGAGATGCGTAGGATCACACGGAGACCCACGTACTCACACAGAGACCCACAGACTCACACAGAGTACCACAGACTCCTACAGAGACCTTTAGATGTGACCTAAGTCTTCCCTGGGTCACTCGACTCGTGTCTTGGCAACTGGCCATTCCTCATCCTGCGCACGTCTTATCCAGTGCAACATTTTTGCCAACAACACTGACGCTGTGTGTATGGATATGATAAACTTCTTTCTTACGTAGCCAAACGTGCTAATCGGAGGTACGGGGGAGAGACAACAAACTAATGACCAAAATAAGTTCTAAAGAAATGAGTTTTCAATGTATATTTAAAAGTGTGTAGCTCCAGTGGTTTCCTAATATCGGAAGGAAGAGCGTTCCAGACGGCCACAGAAGTGCATCTGAAAGCGTGCGATGGTTAGCCAAAAGCCGTCGCTGCGAGGACGACTGACGTTTGCATGTTCTCTTTCATGCTTATGTCGCATTACTTATCGCAAGCCTACAATTGCACCCGATGACTTCTAAATTACAAACACGAGTGCCACAATGCGTCCCATGCAACCGCACGCATGCATCTCTCCCTTGGACGTGTGACCTCTGCCCAGCACGGGGTCACCGCTAAAGCAGCGAGCTGTCAATGAGCTCCACTCACAACCGACGGACGCGGCGAAGGACGCGGGGAAGAGGTTCGACAATTGCCGAGTTGGGGTGGACCATGCCGATGGCTGCCTAGAAAAACCAAGGTCAATAGAAGCACTCAAGCCGAGGAACGCCCAACGGGGAACACGAGCGCAATGCAGTTGCCAAAACAAATGCATTTATACTTTGCTCCAGTGGCTGTCTCGTGTTTAGAATTTTTTTGGAACAATTGATTTTAGATGACCTTGTTTGCAATGTAAATTCATATCTGTTTGCAAACTGTGATTAGGAGCAGTTTGTTCATGGAAACATGCTGTAGCAGCAGCAGCAGATAAATGAGACAATTAGACTGCATTAACTAATGGTGTGGGTGGAGTGGTGGCGCAGTAGTTAGCGCATTTCACTATTAATCCGGTGAGACTTGAGTTCGATTGCCAGCCATGCTCACACCAGTGGCGAGCGATATCTGAACAAGTCCCCGCGACAAGCTTGCGCAGCGTTCACTAACCTTCATCTAGCATGTTGAACTTCTTTTGCACCATACGCAGCCAACCGCGGTGACGTATCGTCAAACAACCCCCATGGCCGGACAGCGTCAGGTGGCTTTCATCCACGAGTGGATCGATAAGAGGCTGTACGTATGTATTTATATATATATTTAACCATGGCACGTGGTGCTTATGTGTGCCAGCAAATACTTGTGAACTCTTGTTCGAGGCCTCGAAAAACATGAATCGCAACTCGTTAAGTAACGCGAACGAGACACGTCAACACCTTGAAATGGCTTCTGCTTTATTTAAACAAAAAAATATCGCTTTCGCTTTTTTTGCGCAACCGTTACGCACGCAATACATCTAGCCTGCGTGCCATTTTTCAGCTCGACTTGGTAACAATCGATACGTTCGTCCATTCCGTTGACTGCTTTGGTTTGCGTTGGAACGGCTTGGTTTCATGTGCCACTGCAGCACCCCCTCCCACCCTCTCTCCCCGTTGTGATGACGAACTCATACGAACAAAGCAGGCGAGTGCAATCGGCAGACCCCTTGCCTCAGGGAAAGAGGAAACAAAAGTGATCCCAAGTGACATTTACATACGTAAAAAGTCCTGCATCATTTCACCCTGTATTTCATTGCCATGCGTATGTACAGTATTTTACATTCTTCGACTGTGTCCATAGCATTCATAATAATTAGGAGCAAGTTTTCCAGTAGCCTGCCTCTTGTGATGCCAGAGAGGCCATGATAATGCCCTCGGTCCAGTGGGTATTAGTCACCCTTGTATCATGGGCTGTGCTGTGGTGGGTGACGTCGCCAAATCTGTACATTGGTACGAAACTGGACACCAAGGGAGGTCTCCGTGCATAGCCCGGCATCTGATCTACAAGTCGTGGTCCTCTCCCACTTGTCGGCTCCACCATGTATCACCACCAAATGTTGACTGCGCGCGTTATCTGCACCCAAAATGATCATCAGGTCACATCGGGAGAAGTACCATCGTGACCTCTTGCAAGATGAATCGCGCAAAGCGAAGGCGTGTCCAGAGTTCGCCGCCATCACCGTCGTCGTCGCCGTCATCGCTGTCATACGAACGTGTTGGGCGAGTTTGTGTTTATGGGCCAGGCGAGTTTCTTCTCCTTGGCGTCCCTGTCGAACGTCTCGTAGACCGTGTCCTTGGTGACGGTCTTGTTGGGCGCGGGCAGGTCCACGATGCCCACGTGGTTCTTCTTGGCGATGCGCGAGCTCGTCGTGATGGTGTAGGCGTTGCTGCGGTAGCACTTCATGGGCGCCATGCAGAACGTCTCCTTGACTCCGCGGCGGAAGTTCGAGTTGTACACCCAGTAGAGCGTCGGCTTGGCGGCCGAGCAGCTGAGCGCCAGGGCCGAGACGACGAGGAACGTGGAGGCGGAGCCCGCTCGCTCGTCCTCGCCCGGGTGCCAGACCTGGAGCGCGAAGAAGGGCAGCCACGAAGTGAGAAAGACCGCGTTGAGGATGAGAAACATCTTGATGGTTTTGACCTTCGTGCGCGGCACGCTGTTCATGGTGCGCTGCACCGTGCGCCCGTTGGAGCCGATCCTCCAGATGTACTTGACGATTTTCAGGTAGAAGAGGACCATGAAGACGCAGGGCAGCACGAACGCGAGCAGCAGCAGCAGGCAGCCGTAAAGCAGTCCCTCCCAAGTGTACGGCAGGTACGACGCGCAGCTCACCGGCCAGCCCTCCCGCGCGCGGTAGAAGTACAACGCCGGCAACGCCAGGACGGCCGTGAGGGTCCAGGAGGCGCCGATCATGCGCTTGGCCTTCTCACGGGACACCTTGAAGCTGAGCGGGTAGACGATGGTGTAGAAGCGGTCGAGGCAGATGGACAGCAGCACGTAGATCTGGGCGGCCGGCGCCAGGTACAGCGCGAGCCTCGCCACCCGGCACACGCCGTCGCCCGCCACCCAGCGTCCCGACATCGCCACCTGCAGCGCCGCGAGGGGCGCGGCCGTGCCGGCCAGCAGCAGGTCGGAGCACGCCACCGACACCACGAAGTAGTTGGTGGTGGACTGGGTGCGGCGACTGCGGTGGATGACCAGGCACACGAGGGCGTTGCCCGCGACGGACGTGAGCCACGAGGCCGACAGGAGCAGGCACAGCACCACCGCCTCGGCCGGGCGGAGCTCGGCGGGCGGATCGGCGGCGGCGGCGGAGGCGGCGGTGGAGGCGGCGCCGCACGGGGACGAGGAGGGGCCCGACAAGTCGAGCAGTGGAGGCACCTGCGACTCCATGGTGCTGGGTGTGGCTCGCGACAGTTATCTACAGCAGCCGGAATAGGAATAGAAAAAAAACAGCGGGAGAGTCAATGCGCAATCTTTGATCACGTGTCACATGGATAGCCGTTGGTTTTTTTTGGTCCACCCCGCTGCTGCACGAGGGCCTTCCCATGGCGTGTTTGGTTAGGGTGGGGGATTACTTGATCGTACGTTGCGCTACTTAGTGGCGGTCGGTGAAGGCCGGAGCCTGTAGATGTGGGAACTCGAGCAGTACTGCTCTCTGCTGCCCACCAAGTCATCGATTGGTCACGGATGTCTCGTTATTCTTTCGGTATTAGGACATACCTTTCCCTTCTTGAACACAGCACGTGTCACGTTTCGTGTGTGGCCGCTTGTGTACACAATGAAAGGGCCATCGTTGCTCGGAATGTGGCCCTTACCAAAACTCAGATTTAAAACCTCGGGGACAAAATGGTTCAGGTTTCTAGGCCCAGTTTTTCATAATAAAGTGGGGTCCCACAGTGACATCCCTCCAAAGTTAACATGCAACGTTGGGCAAACTTGTTCCAACCCGTTTAATGTTGAACTTCTTTTGCGCCGTACATAACCACCCGTGCTAATCGGAGTGGCGGGGGAAGGACAACAACGTTGCATATGTTCAATGGGTTGTTACCGACTAGGCCAAGACAAATAAGTCAAGCTGAGCTCCTCTGTGTCCCAGAGTCATCACCTGGCAACACATGCAGGCTGTGTGAGGCCTTGTGTTTGACCCCCTGGAGATGAGCTCACACGCACGAGGACTCCAGTACACGTGTCCATGCGATGCTCAGCGGTAGGGTGCAGATTGTTGGACCCTTCTAGCGGGTATTGATTTTTAAAGCTAAATGATACCACTTTATGGGATCAAAAAGCTATACAAATGTTTTGTGCGTTTTTTTTTACTGAAAAATCGCTACACGGTAATAAAAAGGTTTTAAAAATTCGTGAATCAAAAATTGAGTCTTAAATTGAAGGATGCTCTCTGGATTAGAATAATGCTCATTTGAATGAGAGCGTGGGGCTAGACTTTCCGCGATAGCAATCGTAATGATCGTAACAGCAGCCTACCTTTCATAACCAGGTAATTGGTGTCCACGCAGCTCATCTGTCGAGCCATATTTGCATAGCTACCTCGATTACCGTTCCTGTGCGGGTGATAATACGCTCCGGAAAGGAAGACGCACCAAACACGAACCCCCCCCCCCCCCCCCTGCAATAAAGTTACACAAATCTGGTCACACACACACACGAATCTGGAGAACACGGTAATAGCAGGCTCACAATTTACCACCGTGTGAAGTGGTGTGGGGGTAATCGTTTTAGTATTTCTTGGCAAGACCGTCCCAACACCGCAGCACGCCGCTGTTGGTCGTTCGCAAGGAACTCGAAGCAATGTCGCCATCGTCTGGACAAACAAACCAAAAAAAAAATCTCCGGACCGAACATTTGACCCGAGAACGACTCCCAACCCACCACCAGCGCGAGAACGACGCCGTGGAACGAGACTCAAACCCCTGCGCGTCACGGGGAACGACTCGCGCGTCTGGTGGAGCGCGGAGAGAGGCACCGCGTGGCTGCTGATGCTGCTGGTGGTGTGGGGGGGTGAGGGTCGACGCGTTTCGTGGAGGTTGCTCAAATCTAGTGGCGTGATACGCGTCGCCGGGTTCGATTCTTTATACCGCGTGTTGAATGTCCGAGGGTATGTTGAAGAGGCTTATTTCGGGAACGTCCTCGGTCATGGGCGACGAGTTAACCGCCTTGCTTGATTCGTCGTCGGTTATAATTGATGACGCGTTAAATGCGTGTGTTAAATATTCTACCGACAATACAAAAAAAAACCCGTATAAGTATAATTAATCGAATACAGCAACAAACGGCTTGCCATACAAATAGCATTCGAATCACAACATTTGTCACATTCCAATGTTCGGGGATTACTCTTTGGCCAAATGTTCGCGCTGCCGACATATGGTGGTGGGTGCATGTCGCCTTGCCGTGCTTCCAGCTGGAGTGGAGTGTGTGCAGGGCTTCATTGTAACCGGAGCTGTCCAGGGCCGAGCTCCAGAAAGTAACTCCTCCACCAACCCAGCCACTCACCCAGATAGTTGGGAGAGGAGGAGGGGGCGATTTTGTTGTGCGGAAAATATTCCATGAGAAATGAGTGTGTAGGTGTTGTGCTGTTGTCGATTTGCGTGCGAGAGGGTAGATGTGGTGGGGAGCGGTGACGCAGTGGGCCGTGTACCGCAGACCGGACTTGGGACACCTGCTCACGGCTAACATCAGTGGCGAACTATACCGAAACCGGTCTTTCACCCGACTCGCACCGACCAGCGTGCTGAAGTAATTTCAAGCACCCCTCACAATCGACATAGGCATGGGGGAGGCCTTCATCCAGTCGTGAATTGATAAAGGGCTGAGGGTTTTTTGTTGTTGTTGTTGAATTTTATATCGGCCACGTCGGTATGGTCTTACAATTTGAGTATCAGCAGAGACGGGTTGAATCTTACATTTAGAACATGCTGCTGGTGATTGCAGCATTAGTATGGCTGGCTTTTTAATTAATCGATTCAACGTTGGTAAACACAGTAAAGTGTAGATTTGAAGCTTTCGTGACTGCAAGGATTCTTTATTCTTAGGTTTTTTCGGTAAAGTCATGTAGGTAAAACATTCAAATTAATAAAAGTAAAATAAAATAAAAATAAAAATCACGACGTTTATTTTACTTTTATTAATTTTAATGTTTTACCCACGTGACTTTACCGAAAAAACCTAAGAACACAGTAAAGTGATTGTGCATTGTCAGAAATCGCGTCTGCACAATTCGGCATTTCTACTGATCAGGATAATGGAACAAATACTCCCAGACTAAATACTGGAGGCTCCCTGTATAACCTTTTATTACAGACTGAGACAAGTGTTGTTAGTCAACGCCTATTAAGGTCACGAAGGGGTTCGTGTGACCAGCAGCAATACCTGACCGCCTTTGTCTCCCCAATAGACGTTTATCGATCGCACCGGGTACAAATGTAAAGCTGAGTTCGACCTCGATGAGGTCCACTGTCGGTTCAGATAATTGCCACCGTTAGCTGTGGCCTGAAATGGAACTCCGATCGCATGGGTTCATAGCAACGCAATGTACTATTGCTGATGTATTAGCAATCGCCTGGCCCCGACAATATATGCAAAGACAAAGATCCCCCTTCTAGCCTTTACAGACATTTGGGGCAAGTGCTTTTATGGAGCGCCTATAAAGGCCAGCACGGCACACAAGGGGGTGGGTGGCCATCACCGCATTTCTCTCCCTCGTGGCGATGTTTACACATCGCACCAGTTATGCATTTTAGCCTGAGCCGACCTAGGGGATGGCCAGGACCGGTTCAGATAATCGTCACTGGTGTTGGCCTTGAGCGAGAATCGAACTCAGGTACCCAGGTTCGTAGCGCAGCTTAGCGCTAACCGCTGCACTACTACCCCCCAACACAAACGAGCAGAGGGTGAAATTATTATTCTTGGCTAATACGCGTGTGTGTGTGTATATATTGACCTTTAATTTGTGTACCAGACAAAGCGCCGTATGTGTAAACTGTGCACAGTGACGGTGGTCGACTGCTGAGTCCAGTTGCAGTGCCGAATGGGAGACTCGTCGCCTCGTTCGGGTATCGGATCGATTGAAATCGCAGGAAGATCCTTCGTCTTTTGGGAGATTGAATCATGTATCAGCGACGGCTGTCGAAAGGTAAGACTGAATTGGCGCGGGCCTGATGTTAGAAATCACCACGGACATGACCGTGGATACGAGCTGCCATCGATTATAGCCCACGAAGATAAATGTATTGTCTATTTTTAAATGATCAAAATTCTACAAAAGTATGTCAGCGGAATAATCACGTAAGACCCGAATGAAGGACATTTTAATAGAGTTCTACCTTCGTTGAATAAACTAAATATAAATCGCATCAAAGACAGACTCGTGTACTCTGCGCTCAGGCAAGTGTGTCAGAATGATTCGACACTCATGCCTAACAAAATTATTGAATACGCTTGTGTCATAAACCACTGTGAATGGTTTCAACGGTATAGATTCATCATAACCGTCGGCCAGGATCTGTCCACCGCTGGATGAAGTCCTCCCCAAACCGTCTCGGTCTCTCGCCGTCTCGTGATGCAACAGTCCAATAAACGCCTGCACACGGGCTGATCCCATCGCTCCATCTCCGCGGTGGATATCCATCTTCCTCGTGGCAGCTTGTCCTGTCCAAGTCCACTTACTTTAACTTAACGCTCAATATGATTCCTCGCAGTGTGCGCGCTGAACTCCTTTCGCGCCGTGCGTAGCCAACCGTGCTACTCGGAGGTGTGTGTGGGGGGTGGGGGCACCAAATACAACACGAAAAGCAGGTCTAAAGAAATCATATAACTGTGGATCTCTCTCTCCACTGGGCATCTACTGGGCATCTTTGAAAGAGAGCTTCATAGCTCATCGGATTTCTCCAGGATTTCTCCAGGATTCATAAAGCTTCTGACATAGATCCCTATGTAACTCGACAAGTGACTCCCTATTCAAGTGACTTCTGTTCCTCTAACTTGCGTACGCTCTACATTCAGCAAAATCACCTTTCTGCCTCTCAGTGTACGCTCGTGATAGAGCCCGTCGAGGCGCGATATCTATTGGAAGGTCTCCGTGCCTCTCTGTTCGCACGCTTCGTCGTTTGCGCATTAAACAACTGGAAACGTCTTGTTGGGTTAGGGTTGGGGTAATGTCTCACCTTGACAACACGCGCACGTTTGTATACCGAGTAACCTGGGGCAGCTAATGGAGACAGACCGGATTGAGTGCGATCAAATACAAGAGGCGGACAATGGCAGGATGGAATTATTTTTGAAAACTGAACTTAATTATGAAAAAAAGCAACGTCGCAATGTGCCCATAAAAAAAGTTTGTAATCAGTGCGTAAAATCTCTGCCGTGAAAATCTGGATCGGGGAGACACGGACTTAAATGTGC